GATCTCCTCATCTCCTCCATGACTTTTCATGATAGACCATCACTTTCAGCCAATCGTGACACAGAGATATAGAGATAGAGATGGAGATGAGAGAGAAAGAGAGAGAGAAAAGAAAGAGAGAGAGAGAGAGAGAGAGAGAGAGAGAGAGAGAGAAAGAAACTGGAGAAGAGAAAGAGGAAGAAGAAAAAGAACAGCCAGTGGCTGAGCTGTAATCATGTGACCTCAGCCATCAGGTACTACTTGTACCGTAGGACATTGCTAGTTTATCAAGTTAAATTTTAATAGAAACATTTGTTTGTCTTGTGATCCAGCATTTACTGTACTTTCTTTGAGAACAGATTTACTAGCTGAATGAGAAGTTATCGATTTGAGATAAAAAATAATTATAGTTTTAGGAGACAGTAACAGCAGAAACAGATAAAGTGAAATGAGCAAAATATGGACTATCAGAGGAAAGAAAAAGCCTTATTGATTTGTGTGTCAGTTTAGTAAAATTATTTTATTTAATTCTTGCAACAAGCCTGCAATATACTATAATTTCCTTTCCTTTTAAACTAAAAGACAATTAGGACTATAAGAAGCTCCACATCTCATTCTAGTTAAACAAGTGAATAGTGGTGAATAAAGATTCAAGTATGCATGTGTATTCTGCAGGTGTACTTTTTCCTTTATTACGCTGTATTATTGCACTGTGATTTTCAAACCACCTACATCAAAATTACTTCTGGAGCACATTAATATAAAATTCCTTACATCCACTCTAAATTCAGGATAAGAATCTTCAAGGTTATAGTCCAGAAATCTTACTTTAAATAAGGACCTTAGGCAATTTTAGACCTATCAGATTCCAGTACCCACTTCTATAAAATGGAAATATAGGCTTAATTTCAATTTCTAAACTTTCATCATCTCATTACTTTAGGCAAGCTGTATATGCTTTTATCTTTAATTTTCAACAGTTTAATTTTCAACATCCAATTACCTTCTGGGCTCTGCTGTTGCTGATGACAAATTAGCAGTTAATTTTGTTAGGATTTGCTTGTACATAATTAGTTTTCTCTTCTCTTGCTCCTCTCAGAGATTTCTTTGTTTGGCTTTCAGCATTTTTATAATGATGTGTTGGAGTGGATCACTTCACATCATCTGACTTAACTTCTTGAATGTGCAGGTGAATGTTTTTGGAAAATTGGAATTTGTAGTCATCGTTTTCTAAAATAATGTTTTGCTCCTTTGTTTTTCTCCTTGTTTGCTCATACTCCTGCTATGTTAATCCTGTGTGCTGAAAGTGACCCTGCATTTCGGAGTCTCATTTTTTTTCTCATTTTTTTTCTGCCTTTCATGTTTCTGTCTTGCTGTGGATCTCTTCAAGTTCACGGACTCTTTTCTCTTCCAGTTAAAATCTCCACTCCAGCTCTTCCAGGTAAGCGCCTAGTGTTAGGGTGCGCCTTCTGTTATCGTGCAGATCTGCTCTAGAGTTTTGATTTGGTTCTTTTTAATAAATTCTTCATCTTCATTAATATTCTCCAATTATACGTTGTCTTTTGACCTCCTTAATTTTGTAGTGTGATTCTTTTTCCTTCTTTCTCCATATTTCTAATGATATCTTTGAAGTTTGTATTCTAATATCCGGTCCACCTCACCGGCACATTTTGTTGTCCACCTCCTTTCCCCTTTTGCCTGCATGGGTCACAGACTTCCGTGTCTTTGATTATTTATTATTTAATTAAAAATGGAACGCGGAGAACTCTGTGGGCACTAACTCGCTTTCCTGCACCAGCCCTCGTTTCCGATGCATTGGTTGGTGCCATGGCTGTGCTGAGCCGCTGCGGTGCGCTGCCCCAGCCAGAGGCCTTTCCTGTCCCATCACGGGGCTCCCCTTGCGTGTGCCCCAAACGCTGAATGATAGTTTTAATGCAGACGGTTTTAAGGGCTTGTCTTTGGCTATCTCTCTGTGAAGTTATTTCACTTAGTATTACACCTTACATATCAGGCTTTCCTAATTATGAACTAATTACTTTATTGTTTTTGACAATGCCCTGGAGCATAAATGTCTCAGCAGTCTGATCAAATTTAATTTGGGCAGAAACCATTTTCTGAGGCCAATCTCTGGTGATTCTTTTTAAAACCCTAGCAACTTTCTTAGCTGTCTCTTGCCCTGTTTTGTCTGCTGAACTAGCTGGTTTATAGCTCAGCTTACTGTTTCTATTTCAGAAGAGATTTTTTTTTCTAAGAACGACTGAGACTTCCCCTTCACTTACTGTTTATAATAAAGTTAGTTCTTTGGGAAAGGTGTGGAATTCTCTTTCTTGGGGGCTTCTTATAAGATGATTTTTCAGCATCATCCTCTAGTAATTTTAAATGTAGAGCAGAGCAGGTGGTTAACTCTAAATGCTCATTTTTTATAGGAAATGGCTCTGTGGGCAAGCTAGGATTACGCGGCCAAGTCATCACTGTTCTTGTCTTACATGGGATAAAGATTCGTTCCTAGGGATAGGTGTTCACCAGAGGAAGATTGCTTCTGATTTCCCTAAAGGACTGGCAGGAATGTAACCTCCTCAACTTATGGGAGGATAGCCGAGCCCGGCCGCTCTGGTTAGAATGTGGGCTCCTCACCTGAAAGCCAAGGGGGAACAAGGGTCTTGTGGCCACACCCGCCTGCAGTCAGGTACAACCTCTGCCAAGCGTAGCAGCGCAAGCAGAGGAAGGATTCGTGGTTCAGTTGCCACAGTCACTTGATTCTTCTGAGTTTAGTCGATTTTTTTGAAGAATTGTCTCTTTATTTGCTGGATTCCTTTAAGATAATTTTGAAAGAACTTAAATTTTAACAAGTGTTTTTATCAGCTTTGCTTCTGTTGCTAGGCAGGGGTCTGTAGAGTTCCTTCTTGTAACATTCCAGAGGCCAACCCCTGGCCACAGCTTTCTGTCATAAAGTGATGCCGAGGACTGAATGTGGTATTACATACTAATGCTTTATGAATAAAACAAAGTGCAATATTATTATTTATGCTAAAGGCACATCTAAAGTGTATGTGAAAGGCAAAATAATTCTTATGCATATAAATTTTAGAGTTTCTTTGGACAGAATGATATAGGAAAGGTCACTTGGGAACAGGAATTTAAACTTAGCCATGTACTTTCCCTACGATTTCCCAAGATAAAATAATATAAGCCCAGTACTTGTCCTGGAACCATTTTACAGAGATTAAAGTAGGAGCATTTGAGTAAACGTTGCTGTGCAAACAGCTCTTTTCTGGATTATGGGAAGAAAACATTTGATAGATGAATGCTGTAGCACAATGAAATTGCACAAGTTCCTTGGAAAATTTCATTGCATTGTCATAATTCAGCTGGACATAAAGAAGCTATCATATGAGATGTACATATCAAAGCATTTGTAGTCAAATTACATTTTGTCTAGAATTTTCCTTAAACACTGCAGTAAAATTAAAGACATCCAGATCAGGCAGAATCAATAAATCAGTTTGTAAATGTTTGATAGTTGCTGAAACTAGCTGGCGAATACATGCAAATTCATTAGAAAGTGGTCTGTACTTATGCTAAGAATTTATAAAATACAAAACATTTGAAAATATACTTATTTAGTTACATATTTATTTAACAAGTTTGTTCTTCTTCTTATTATTATTATTGGTCCTGGAAATTGAACCCAGGGCCTCACACGCAATAGGCAGCTGTGATACTACTGAGTAATATCCCAAGATTTTATTTTTAAGTTCCCATACAAGGACTCCCCAGCTTATCTGACTGGACTGACACTTGCACTCTCCCTGCTTTAGCCTCCTGAGCGGTGGGGTACAGGCCTCGCCATCTTTCCTAGCTAAAGTAAAAAGTAATTAAGAGATTTTTAAAAAATAGAACAATGCCTGGAAATGTGAGGGTACACAAAACACCTCTACATCTGATGACAGTGAGACCAGGTGTCAGATGCTGCATTACGGTAAGAATTCTGTTGTTCTTGTTGTTGTCTTGAGCAGTGGGAAGGGTCAAGGCAGTCGCTTGATTGGTTGCAGTATTCCTTGTCGTTAATGTGTGGGCATTTCTCACCAGCACAGGGATATGAGGTGTATAAACTGTCTTCATTATCAAAATATCCAAATTGTCAAAATTACATTCTGGTGATATTTAGAGCCCTACGAAACTGCTTAGTTTTGCATCTAAACGCAGGCATTTTATGTGAGAAAGTAGAGACTTGTAATTGATGAGAACATAGGTGAGAATTAGTAAAACCCAGGGCAGGATGAGTCTTCATGTCATATGGACATTACTCATCACAACGCAGAGTACTAAGCACTACATGATCACAGTGAGCTACCAGGGCCCTATACTTTATAGAAAAAATATGCAGTGAGTACTTTATGTACACTTCCTGTGAAAATGGAGCAAAAGTATGACAGGTAATCCAAGACTGCAACTGATGACATTCCTTTTTCTCCTTCTCTCTCCTTTCCGTATTCCTCTGTTGCACTCATACACACTCACATTCACTTCTCAGTTGGGTCTCAGAGAATCGGAATGACTTCTCAGGCAAGGCTTTGTGTAACTTGCCCGAGATCCAGGAAATTAATCCATGCATCTGCATAACCAGGGCAGTGTACTATCAGTTTAGTAAATAGTAAAAAAAATTACAAACATCAAGATCGATTGTAAATCTAGTTCAAGCCAATAATCATTATATTTTTGGCTCCTACATAGAACACGATGCCAGTTTTGTCTTCAATAATTTAAATAGATAAAATCTAATTACATAGTAAATAATTGCTTTGCAATAAAAACATAAGGGAATAAAAAAGATAATACAGAATAAATATTAAGGCCAGTATCAGAAATTATTTCTGTCAGTAAACACATTAGGAAAATTAGGACATCATATGTACTTAGTTTATTTTTATGTGACCTCACAAATGTTTACTTTTTTTGTAATTTTTAATAAATTTCTTGGCATTTTCTTTATTCACTAGGTATATTGCTTTCTTTTCTAGTGGCAAAACAAGCGGAATGCCAGATGCTGGAATACTGTAAAGAGAAGAAACTGATGTAGCTGTAGTGCTGCATGTTAAACATCGCGGCTCCATCTTCTGTTCATCTTTGGTGAAATCCTTAAAGCAGATGGGGCCCCAGTGGTCGGAAATGTGTGGAGGAGCTGGCATGATGAGAGAAGACTTTCACTACATCCCTTCTCCAGGGAACTAGATCCATGACACCAACATTAACTCTTTTGGACAATGGTGCCTTCAAGTTCTTAATTTGTTCCCACTAGGCCCTGACTCTTAAAGGTTCAGCCACATCCCAGAATCACTGCACTTGGGACCAGATTTCCAGCACATAAACCCTTCGGTCACAAACACAAACTATATCCTACTCATAGTACTTAGAATGCTCTAATATAAGCAAACAGTTCTTTTTCATAGAGTATGCTTAGCATCTCACTAACATTACTTCAAATATTTCCTGAACACAGTTGGTTACCGAGATGGATTCTATTTGATCTTTTCCTGAGAAACTGCCCTGACAAAGCCCTAGTGTCTAAATGTAATACACCTTTCTTCCTTCAGAGAGAATTTGCCGGAAATTCTGCTTTTCACGCTGCCCACGGTCTTCACTTGATACTGATAATCCCTTCACTGTAATACAGAAGGGTTGATGGGAGCAGCTGTCCGTACTGTAATCTGGAAATCCTGTGAATGGTGCTGATATCAAGCAACTAAAAATAGAGAAGAGCTACTTCTACAATACCTGGTTCATCTTAACAATTTCAGGTAGTAGGCGAGTACAGATTATATCGCCACATTATAATGAAACTGCTACAATCACTCACTATCCAATGTTTCAAGTTACCTGGTTCTGTTACAATTACTACACAATTGAATTATATGACCACTATCTGGAAAATGGGACACACACACGCACACACACACACCTATGTTTAAAAAGGTAATACTACTGGTCGTGACATGGCATAAAACAAAGCTAAATTAGGGAAATAAATTTTTGCAAGAGCTGATAGAATATCACATATTACAGGCTAATTACTTCTTAGACACAGACACAAAGAAATATATTGGTAATAGCTCGCACAAGGGTAAATCATCAAATCATACATTCATCATTTGTATGACTACCACCCAATAAACACAAATGAGGGTTTACAGTGCTCAAAAATAATTTAATTTCATTACAAAACTAGGTATCTCTCTCATGGCTTTGCTATGGCTTCTAAAATCGGAAAGTGACATTTTACTGACCAGTAGGAGAAGGTCTACAGTGTAGAATTCCTGAAGAGAAACAATGCGCTAGATTAGCACAGCAATGGTAAAGAATGTTCAGTGGGCCATTTTCCATACTAAATTACTATGACAACAAACAAGAATTTCACAGCTTCACCACACGAGATTTTATGTATATGCATACATATAGATACATACATACAAGATTTTATCTATACACATATAGTATGTGTATAGGGTATATATATATATATATATATATATGTATATAAAATCATTTTTTTATTCTTCACTATGTTGTATTATATACCAGATAATGAAAGTGTGAATTATCTAACAAATACTCTACAGGTTACTCAGAGAATGTGAAACTAGCAATTCACATGTATCTCTGTGATTTGGAATAATCCTTGTTTCAGTAAGAACAGAAAATTAAACTGGCACTTTCTACCTTTCTTTCTTTAGTTCTGTTCCTCAAAACCCCATCAGCCTACACCATTTTCATGTCACCTCCTGTACAATGCAGTTCAGGGGCCCTCTATGGCCGTGCTATCTTCCTTCTTAAGCATGCTTTTCCTTGGTGCCATAAATCAACCTTCAAATTGTGGACTGGACTTTCAGACCACAGCGGATGTTTCATTTTTCTGGTAAGTAGTAAGGAAATGATGGTGATAGCAAGCCTCTCTTTTCAATTTCAACAATTTGAATGAAAATAAGAGGATGGGTGTAAATGCAAGTTCCTGCGTTTGATTTCCGGCACCAAGAAAAGAAAAGAAGGAAAAAGAAAACTAAGATCCTATGTACTGTTTCTGGATAGACAACCCTGGATTTTTGAAAGGAAGCTAAATGTAACTAGAAAATACGTGGTTTGCATGAAATAGTTTAGAATATTTAGAAGAATCCATTCATACTGACTTTTTTCTGAATTATGAATGAGGTTAAAATTCTACTTTGTCATAATATATTTTATTTTTCTATTATTGATTGACATTGACAATTACCAAACCTAGAAGTGCATCTGTGGAGGGATATTACTGAAATAACACAGGGTCAGTTGAATGTATCTTCTCTTTAGGAATGTCATATAGCCAAACTACAAGTAACAGATATTAAAGTTATTGTGTAAAAGTAATGTGTTCAACACAAAAACAAAACCAAAAATCCCTCTTTTCATTGCTTTATAGATGAAAAAATTACATACACTTCAAAATAGTCTCTTAGGAATAGGAAAGTAAAAACATTTTGTGCTACTAATGGCTTTAAAAATGTAGATGATATATGAACTATAACTCCTATTTATTTTAAAAAGTGATGAATTTCATTACTACTTAATTTAAAAATAAAGTGTATTTTAAGATGATATAATAAAATATGTCTTAGGAACATTAACAAATTAAGAATTCAGTTTGTGGTTATTAAACTGCAGTAAAAGCATAGTGACCAAAACTTTAAAAACAGCTAAAATAGGCAAAACAAAACACCTGAGCAATAGAAGTACAAGATTTTTTAAGTATAACTACCTTATCCTTTCCATATAGAAAAATCAACCCAAAATATCTGTGGGTTGATCTGTGTATTGATATTTTAAATGTCACCAAGAGATTCTACTATCAGTCAACCACATTTCATTAGATGATAGAACATTCTTCATATCTGAAAACTGAAAAATAAAATGTAAGTTGAACAGAAATGAAGACTGATCGCCGGGACTGGGAAGGGTACCAAGACGGGAGGGAGGAAGGGAGGGAGGGAGAAAAACGGTGGGTGAATACAATTAATGCACAGAAAGGATATAGATGGAAATGCCACACTGAATCTCATTAATTTGTACAATTAATATATGTTAATGAAAAAGTAGAATCTGAAGAGAGGAAACATAGTGAAACTATGTCATTTAATGGTGTCTGAGAAATTAGTAAGCTTTTAAGAAAATTGCAAGAGGATTTTAGCCAAAGATAGCTGAGAATTTTCCTATGTAACTTATGTAAATCTACAAATCTTTCAAAATAATGTTAACATATGTAATTTACACACATATGCACACCCACATTCCTTGTCATGTGCATCTATGAACAAGTGTCTGGAAAAGGGAGTAGCCAGAAGTAAAATACAATTTTCAAAAAAGCAGAACAGTGATTGAGACCACTTCAAACTGGGGTCAGACACAGCAGATGCAGTAGAAGGCAGGGCAAGCCGGGGCAGAGGCAGAGGGGTGAACTAGTGCTGGAGCATAGGACAGGTTCTCCCCAGGTCCCACTTACCCACAAACACCCACAGAATTTACTCCACAACAAATCGACATTGTTGTCAGTACTGTTAAATAGATCTATTAAACACAAAATAAATGACTACAGCTGTACTACCGAGCCATCGATTCCAAATTTTCTTTTAAACGCTAAGATAATATGTTAAAAGTTACATGGAGCACTCACACTGATTACTGCTGACACTTTTGCATGTTAGAGGCATTTGTATTCCCTAGGTGTACCCAGCTTAAGAAAACACCTTGACGTAGTAGTCACCCTTCCCCTGAACCTACATTATTTATAATGACAGACAGGCTTTTAGGTTGTGATCCTAATTGTGTTAGGATCATTACATAAGCCTAAGTAAGGTACATTCCAAAATTAGTTCCCTGAGAGGCACATCGATAAGAAATACATTCTACTTAAAAGGATTCCTATTGTGAAAAAAAAAAAAAAAAACTACACTTCTGATTTTTAAGCTATTATGCTAGCTGGATTCCTCACTTTTTCTTTCCTTTTTCTTTTTATTTGTGCTTTTATTATCCTTGTTTCGCATATTACTTGTAAGACTTTGCATTTGTGTTCTGTGAAGGTTCCAGAGGATTACGACTTCACAGTATGTTAAGATGATAAACCATTCTCTAGAAGATAGATGGAATATGACAGTGACTCCGGCATCCAGAGGAAATTGCAATAGGACTAAGGACTGCAAATTCTATTTTAAAACCTCTCTAATTGGCCTTCAGGGGCTTCAACAACCAAGGCTTGGAGACAAAAGCTAAGGAACACAAAAGGACTAAGAAAACGGCCGGCATTTTGGCCCTTGTACTGCAAAGGCGTGATGAGGCCCCTCTGAGGAGACCCTGCATCTACGTTGAGACAAAGAACCAGCCAAGTAGATTTCCCCCAGGGAAGGAGCCCAGCAGTGTGCGCTATAATAAAGGGAAACAGGAGGGGAAGGTCGCCATCCTCCCAAAGGCAGCTACGTGCTCAGGCATGGCCACGGCACATCCTGAAAGCTAACACAATCGGTAAAGATCTGAGGAAGCCAAAGACTCTTCACACGCCCCACCGTAACTCTGAAAGCATCGACCATCCGTAACAGCAGAGAGAGTTTAGATTCGATACTCATTCTGCAACACACCACAGGGAAGTATAACCAGTCAGTTAATCTCAAAAAATGGAAAAAAACAGAAACCCGCTTTGTTTCTTCCTCTGCAAGATTAACGAGGGTAACATCCCTCAAGGAGGAATGATGCAGTTATGACACAGTCAGGGACCACCATAAAGATAGGAAACAGGCGGAATCCTGGAACCTAACTTGTTTCTCCTTCAAAGCATGATTTATATTTCTTTCTGGGACAATCAGGGGCTTGAAAGTCATTTTTCCTATGAGTCATGTCTCTTCCCTTGGGTCGAACAGGTAACTAAAACCAGAACAAAGCTCGGCTCTCGTTTGTATCCTGTGTTATTGTAAGTCTCTCCTCTCAGCTGGGCAGAGGGTGTGTTGATCATTTAGGGGATGTCTGTCGAGGAGACGGCCGGATAGGGTTGATCAGCACTGAGTTTGTATGACCTTCCCCCTTTCCCATCGTAAGTCTGATGGTGCCAAGACGAGGGGTTTGGAATGCACTCAGCTACTGCGGAAGTCCTCAGCCATTGTCCCACAGCAGGGGTCACGGGAGCCCCAGGAGAGGAAGGGCCTCACATAATGGGTACCACCACAGAAAGACCCAATCTTTTCCTGCAGACCCAATCCCTCCACTATAAAGACGCAAGCTGTACGCCATCAGGACTGAGATAATGACGCACTGGACCCCACGTCCCAGCCAACCCTTGAAAGCTGGCCTCCTGTCTTTCGTGGTGGGAAAACCTGTATCACAGTATGGCCATTCAGCTACCCAAGCTGGAGTCCTTTCTTACCTTCCCTCTAACTTTCCAATTAAAGCTTTCTTTCCTGTTGAATAAATGAATGATTTAAATTTATTAGGTTAGTTCAGCTATATAAAAGAGAGGACTCAAATCATTATCTACTTCTACAGACGAGGAGTGAGGCAGAGTGAGGTTAAATAACAGTCCAATATCACCCTGGTAGGAATTCAGTACACTGAAATATATGGCTTATTTAAAACTGGTTGATCAGCACGTTCTAACACACAAGTATCCCTGCAGAATACAGAGCTCAGACCAAAGCCGTCTCTTAGGAATGGCCCGCATGAGGGGAAGAGGACGAGCTGATGTCATGATGGTAGGTATACTTTGAGCCAGAAGCCTTTTGTGTTAACACTATTTGGTTTGTTTAATTATTCTCATGAAATACTTTGATGAGTTCTTTCATTTCTCAAGTTTTAGCAATTTACTATCCTGAACAATTTAAAAAATAAATTATCTCACTGCATGAAGCTGTGGAACAAATTAAAATTTAAATAATTATACTGTAAATGCATCTAGAGTTAAACTTAGAGCAGAAAGAGAAAGAATAGCCTACTTTAATGAAGTAAGGAATTGTTTGCACTTGCATAGCACTGAATTCATTTATACCTATAAAGGTTTTATAAGGTTTTCATTTCTGTGCATTTACTTTTTTTTACAACATATCTGTTTAACACATTAATCTCTACATTTAAATTTGACCCTCTTACTTGGGGAGCTTTCAAGTTTACCTAGTGTGGAGTTAAAACAAAGTCAAGATTAGCATCAAATAATCTCGATTTCCGTTGTTGTAAGTATACCCACTGCAGCCCATGTACTGACATAAATCTTCATGTCCGTTTAGAGATGAAAGTATCTAAGAACCATGGAGAGAAGACAGGACCTTCTATTACAGTGTGCATTATAGTCAATCAATCTAATAAGGAAGTTTGCAAAGACTGTGGAGTTTACAACTTCAGAAAGGGAAAGTGAATTTATCCTGGAGACTTGGTCCACTTATTTCCCACTGAAGATGGATTTTCCAAACCTCTGTCACACAACTTCTGTGATCTATGAGGCAGTGGCACAGTAAATAATCCATGTGAATGCAGAAACGTCATAATCCACACCTGCTCAGACTCCGTGGAGCGCCCACAGCACTGTACACCCTCCTTCTGGCACTTTCTTTTGAAAAGATCAAAAACATTATTCCAAAGTAGGAATTTTACAAATTATAGAGTGTACGCAATATACTCAACACTTTTTGCACATCCTTTGAATGACAGAAAATGTAATAGATAAACTAGGTACCATTTTTTGTCAGGTTTCATTTTACCAGAGAAAGAAAGATGACAAACGAGGAAACAAAATAGTCAGGATAAACTCAGGTAACTATCAATAGTAAGAGGAAAGGAGAGCCGTGCTGGGATGTGGCCCCAGGTAACTACGAGTTTCTTTCTTCCTGAGTCAGACATAAGTCTCTGTCAAGTTGATATTTAACGTGAGAGTTGTATTATTAGAGAACCAGGCGGGGATCCAGGGCGTCACAATACAAGGCAGAGGGAAGAGCAAGAGCATGTGTTTTAAAATGAGACGAAGCTCCACACCTTTGGGGAATAGAAAGAACGGTGATGAGACCAGGGAAGATCTTCCCAAGTAAACCAGGTCACAATAGCTTCACACAAAAGGATTTGCTGTTGATCTGTGTCAATATCAACACCCTCCATCCTCACGGCTGTGTGCAGTGCATGTGTCCCTCTGTCCTGGGCCAAATCCAGGCATCATGCACAATCTCTTTAATTTTCACTAACACTTCAGGAAAATATTATTTTTGCTCTCTGTGTGTCTATTTTAAAATTTGAAAAGCACGAATTTCAGAGTGTAAAGAATGAGAAGTAGGGGCCGGGGATTTAGCTCAGTGGAACAAGCTCCTGTCTGGCAAACACAAGGTCCTGAGTTTGATCCCTGGTGCCGCAAAAAAAAAAAAAAAGAATGAGAAGTAAGAGATGAATATGGGGAGACAGACAAAGGTTGTTTTCTACAGCTTCTTGTAAGTCAAGGAAAAGTGTCTAGAATTTAGGTGCAAAGTCATTTAAGAGGAGCGATAAGCTTTTACACTGTATCTGATAAGATCTTCCTAGCTGCGTGCATAGGAGATACAAAGTGCTAGAGTCAGGCGGCGTTCCACTTGTTCACCATAGGGTGACCTTGAGGTTGTCACCTGCTGTCTTGGTACCTCGATGTCTTTATCCAATCATCAGGGATAATAGCACTCGTCCCTGGCTTGTTTCACGGGGATCTTGCGAGGGGAAGCTGGACCATGGCAGTGGCCGTCCCGAGGAAGAGAACACATACCGGGAAGGCTCTTGTTTCTGCTGCTGACACCACACGTCCCCACATGCCAATTATCTCCCATAGATCGGTTTGCAAACGCGGGCTGATTACGACATTAACTTGAGGACAGTGGTGACAGGAATGGCGAGTCCCTGGAGATTCCTCCGACACTGACCGGTTCCCACCGCCCATACTGACGCGGAGGAAAGATGAACACAGCAGGGAGACACATTCATCTGTGGCCTTTTGCTGTCAATTAAGCCCCTCAGCGAACCATTAGGCATCCGTTCCCTGTGGCTTGTGGGCTACTAATCGTCTCACCGCTGCGGTGCGCTCTCTCTGCTTAAGTATTTCAGGAGCAGGACGTGATTGTCACTGGCAGTTGTGCCCGCAGGTGTGAAACAACGCAGATCTGTCCTAACTGATGCCCAGCGATCTATGGGCCTCACATGGACCACACACACTCTCGACATTCTGGATGTGAAAACCAAGACACTGCTTTGCAGTTTGCTTCACAGGGCTCAGTGGTTTCTTACCGCAAAATCACAGTGAGGCTTTCATTCTGCTTCTTCAGCCTACTACAACAGTTTAAATGCAAGCATAACAGTGGGAGCTAGAACTACTGATATTTACGTATTAATTCTTTAGATGTGGGTGAAAGTGCAACTTTTCTCTTTCCTTGAAAACAGATTTCTTTTTTAATGTAAGGTACCTGAAAGCAGTTAAAGAAGGAATTTTACAGTGAACAAAAATAGAAGAGCTTGAAGGAACTCACAAGATGCAACAGAAGTGCTCAGGGTGACGGAGGCTGGTGGGACGCATCCAATAACACTGTGATAAAGAGAGAGGTGGGCTAAAAGTCGTGGAGACAAGGGAAGAAACTAGTGAAAAGGGAACACGGGAAATTTGGGGGTAGAGGGGTGTATATATGTTTTGAATATTGGTGCTGTTTTCTTGAGTGTATTGTTAATACAGACCTTGAGTGTATTGTTAATTCAGACCTTGAGTGTATTGTTAAATCAGACACTTCAAGTATACATACTATGTTGTTATCAATTATATACCAATATAGCTATGAATGAGAAATGTAGTTTATAATGTATGACCTCATAAATTCACAGAGATTTTCTGAATTTTAAATATCACAATAGTCCCTACATAGTTCAAAAATGCTGACATACTATAAATTATAAGATGTTTTTATTTGGAATAAAGTTTTATAATGGAAAAACTTCCTCAACCTTGAAAACAATAAATGCTTGTGTATGAGTAATTGAAGAAGCCTGTAGGAGATTTCTGACACTGAGACAAAAAGGGAATTTGATAATATTCAAGCTCACTGATGCTTTCTAGCCCAAAGTAACTATCGGTACAAGGGGTATCAACGGCTAGCAGTGCTCCTGAGCCTGGTGCTGGGGACATTTACACTACGTTTGTCTTCAAGTTTCTTTTGTCCTGTTCAATCTCTCATCTACCTAGGACATCAATATTTTTTTCTTTATGAGAAATTTTTTCTCTGTTCTAGTTATTTCAATCCTCAATGTACTTAGTCACTTAATGTATCACTTTTAAGTGATAACTGTATTTTAAAAAGCAGTGTGTCTTCATTAACTCCTTCAGCTATTCCAAAAAGACTTCTTTGTATTCCATAATAAGCACTTGTAACAGGAAAAATTATAACACAGGGGCTGGGGCTTTAGCTCAGTGGCACAGCGCCTGCCTGGCAAGCGCAAGGTCATAAGTTCGGTTCCCACTACCGGAAAAAAAAAAAACAACAACAACAAAAAAAATTATAACACAAGATAAACATTTATTGTATTCTGTTATTAAATGTTTTTTTATCCAGTTGAACAAATTATTCAGTCATCATCATTAGTCCTTCTTTCTGTGTAATTACCTTCTGCTCTCAATTTATTTTGAGATGAAAGGTCTGCAGATACAGACCTTAATTTCTGACAGCACCCAGCTGAGTGGTATTATGCCATAAGTAGGAGCTTCATTATCTAAACACTTTTAGATAATAGACTTTTTAAAAATGTCTAAAACACTTTTAGTTAATATTAAAAATATTTTTGCAGAAACTCAAATTGTGTATTTTGGACATCTGTCTTGACGAAGGAAAATCCAGATGTTCTCCCAGGACAGCCCTCCACATTGCTTTTGTGATATTCTTCCCCACTGCCATACCCTTAAAATTATTATTTTATTCCAAATGAGCCTGTTACATATACCTATAATATCTGTCCCATGTTAAATTATCTGTTAATATTCTTTAACATGTTATGCATTCTAG